TTGCACTAAATAGCCCCAAATAGGCAACAAAGGTTACAAATCGTTCAAACAGTACAAAGAATGAAGATAGAACATTTATCTCTCAAGTACAAGAACAGATCTATCACAGATCACTCAAAAAACTTCACAGTAACCCGATCAATACACAACTCAAATAGAACCTTAGTTCCCACAGATATTCACACAGAATATCACAATCAGAGAGTCAAAACTCTCACGATTACAGCCTCAAATCAAAGATTTGAGCCAAGAAAGCCAGAAGAAGAAAACCCTAGTATTTCTCTCACAAGGCAGACCAAAGGAGTGTTTCTCGAATTATCCAAAGAAATCGATCTGAGTAAGTTTAAGAGTCATCCAATAGATCAGCCAACCGTCCAGATCTGTCCACGTGTCACCATCTTAGTAAATGAATGTGATAAAACGTTATAGCCAGAAAACACACTTTTCTTAATATGATTGTCGGCAGCACACCATTCCACCAAGGTTCGAGTCCCACAAAGCCTACTACTACCCAAACAATTTCACCATTCATGACTCTAACCCAATTCCAATCAACGAAAAATCATCAGTCTCCATTCTTAGTTTTTTTTTTTTTCAAAAGTTCTGAATTTTCTTTCAAGATGCAAATTTTCGTGAAAACCCTAACTTCCGAAAGACAATTCAGAGAATCTTACATGTTCAGTGTTCCATTCCAGAACATGTTAAAATTTCTGAGGAATGTCGGCAGTTAATTTCTCGGATCTTTGTTGCAGACCCTGCACAACGCATCACCATTCCAGAGATCCGAGACCACGTGTGGTTCCTGAAGAACCTAAAGACATATATTTTTTTTTATTGATATTTCAATCTCAAAAAAACTGTTGGCCATAATAAAATCCAGAATACTCTTCATTACATCCCCAATGCCAACTTAGTCTGTTCCCTCATCAAACTCAACATTTCGAGATAGAGTTCAGTTTCCTTCTCAAACAAATCCTTCCACTTCTCCTCCAAATCCTTTGCTCTTGCACTCCCAAGCAAACTCATCTTCTCCTTCACAAAACCCATTACACTATCAGGCATTGACAAGGACTGACAAATCCCATTCGCTTCAAACGACCTTCTGAGAAATGGATAATTGGACCAAAAGTCTACTCCAACCTTTTTCTTTCCTTACAATCTGCTGCTCCTCATCTTTGCTACTTATTTCTGATTTCCCCTTATCTTTCTTCACATTCTCAACAACCCTATTGGTATTACTGCCTTTACTCTTTTCAACCGATGTACCCCAGATTTTCTTCGAAAGATCAAAGGTCGTGCATTCATGAGCTCAGAGGCGACCATACCTTCTGCTGGTTTATATAACCTGGACATGATGGATGATGAAATTGTGATTCTCAAAGCATGATTGATTATGCCGCTAAGAAAAAATCTGACCCAGTTGCTGATTTGAATGGTTTTCATGATTTTAAGCCAGAAAATTTGCAAACCCTGAGCACTGAGAGGAGTCCAAGCAACGAACTATGAACATACGGAAGGCAGAGATAAAGGTGAAACGAAATCAAGAATTCAGATCCGAAAAGAAAAAAAAAAAGAAGCAAAATTGCTAGCCGGACGAGCGGCTCAAGCCGCTCGTCGAGAACGAAATTCAAGATTAACGTGTTTAAGATCATAACAGCTCTGATACCATGTTAAACAATCCAAAGAAATAAAGAAAAGGAAAAGGAGTCTATGATTTCATTAATTCTGTATAATACAATTGAATACAAAAGAATGATTTAACCTAGAAACAAAACGACTATATATAGGCTAAATAAAGGAAATTGAAAAGACTATTCTATCCTTAATAAATAAAATAAAATAACCATATATTTCTTAACAAACTCCTAAACAAGAAAACCAATTAAAACTAGACATTCTCGTCAAACATGTCAAAGTTAACGCTAACCCTTTTAAATATTCTCATCTTTCTTTTTGCACAAATTTCGGAGTACCTAGTCATTCTCTTTAAACTAGGCAAAGTTGATAGGGTTTCTAGTTTGAGCAATGCTACACTTACTAAAAATAGTTGACAAATATTTTGACCGAACACTCACAATAGGGGGAGGGCCCACATTTTTTTGGAATTTTTTATTCGCACAGGGCCTACACGCATGTGAGAGGTTGTCAAACTCGTTGTCATCCATTTTCGGCACAAATGGAAAAACCCTTCTAGTTTATTTAAACACTAGTCTTCTTCAACGCGTTTGTCTAGATTGTTTAGAAGAAATTTTAATCAGAAGGCACGAAATTAATTGTGATATTTAACAAAAATTTTGGTAGGAGACAAAGTCCATTTGGTCGAAGTAAATTGATCAATTAGTTAGAAGAATTTCTCATTCACAAAATCCATTTACTTTGGCAGCGCCATTGACGCTTGTAAGAGCATCCATTCAATGAATTGCCTTCTAGATGACATACAGGTTGAAACACTTCAGATTTACACTTCATCTAAACACAAGTTCAAAGGAAACGTGAGGAACAATTTATTGAGCCACAGACAATTTGAAATCAGAAAAAATAAAAGAAAGAAGTGACCTTGGGACACTTTTGCCTTTAGGGTTGATATTATTGCATCTAAATCTTCACTTGAACTTGAATTTCTATTGTTCCATAAAGTCCCAATTCGAAGATGAGTTAATATGCTCCATCTTGAATTCTTGATGACACTGGAGAAGGGAATACATTTTTATTCTGGTGCAATATTACCAAAAAGGCCAACGAAAATAGAAATTTCTCAACAAATCCATCATAAAAATCATCAATCTTGTAACACTAGTTTAATGAATTTCCTAAAAAGCAAACAAATTACTGTGATATAACAAAAGAATTCAGACAATAGAGCATGAACAACTAAAATATCAAATCTTCCGCGAATAACATCAGCAATGAGCTTCATCAATGGACAATATTTGTCAGGAATATCATATCTTGACGAAGTGCGTCTTGAAACATCTTCTTCTAGAGCTACCAAATATGGTGTGCAAATGCGTCGTATAAATTTTCCATATGGACACGAGTTTCTTTAAGGCTCCGTTTGATTGATAAAGGTGGAAATGCTTTCCAATTTTGTATAAGTTGGAAAATAAAAACTCAAGTACCTCTTTTGAATGCATTTTCCATGAAATTGACAAAAACAAGCTTAAAGTGAATGCCTCGTTCTTGTACTCACGGATCGATGCGTCGACTCCGTTTTTGCTTACTACATACAACAGTAATGACAAGAACCCAACTAGTATTTTCATCACATTTGTTTTTATACATAGCAAATCACACTGCAACCCTTTGCCAAATAGCATCTGCTTTAATTTCTATCTATTTTCCTTTCTGTATAAATGTGAATAAGTTAGAAAAAAATTTATAAGTTCGTGAATAGTAGTAGTAATTCTATGAAAGGAGGAAGATATCGAATCTCGTTAATTACTTGGCTACCAGTGTGTATTAAAGAGAGTGCATTCCAGCTAGGCATTTTTACATCAATTTTCGCAATACTTTTTCCACGTATCTTGCAAATATTTTCTTCCTAAATACTATCCTTCTATCTGAAAAATATGCAATCTGCAATCGAAAGTGTTTAGTTTGTTGGTTTGTGAAAAGGTTGGTGCTAGGTCGTTTAGGACGAAAATTTTTTCTATTATAGGAGGAAACTGCGCAAAAACTTCCGACACTATAGAGCAAAGTTGTTTGAAGAATATATTGTGAAGCTGTTAAGCTCGAATTAATAACAAAAAATGTTCAATTAACTGAACTATTTTGATTAATACCAGAAAAAAAAAAAGATTGTTGATCCAGCGTAAAAGGAAAATATAGTGTTTACAAAGAAGAAAGAATAACTATTTGATTAAAACAATATTATCACAGCCCACATGCGGTATTTCAAAGAAAATACAGCACACCTAGAGACATTAGTTCATTATAATTCAAAAGGTCACTAGATGGAAAAATTTACAGAATAAATTTCCAAAATTCCATTCCATGTTTTGCCTCTAAATTACATCCCAGATGATGTTCTGTTCACCCTTTGAGCACCCAGTTTTGGAGCAGCAGGTTTAGAACCTCTGCTTCGCCCAGACAAGGGCTTCGATCCTGTAGTAGGTGGAGGTGCTGCAATTGAAGCCCATAGGTCGTCATCAGCTGATCCACTAGATTTCAGATTCATAGGCTTTGATGATGATTTCGGAACTGGGGCAGAGATAGCACCCCAAGGGTCATCATCAGCAGCTATGCTCGTTTTTGAGTTTGAAGGTTTTGACGCGGCTTTTGAAGCAGGGTTGGCTGTTGAACCCCACAAGTTATTGTCATCATCCTTACTCGTCCTTAATGTGCTTTTTGGTCTTGAACTCGTAACTGAATCATAATGGCATGTCCAGTCAGATGATGTTCAGAAGAAAAATATCATTAGCAAGAAAATGACCCAAGCACAGGGAAGGGAAGACTCAACATGCCTCTATTCCGGAATCTTTTGCACCGTCTAGTTTCTTGAATAGTATAATTAGAATACAGTTCTCTAATTGCCAAGTCCTAACAGAAGTATCATTATTGCGTGCAACTAATGTGTCAAATCTTTCCCCAGGGCCTGGGGGCCGGATGATATCACAATGCAGTATTCATATGAGCTATGCAAAAGCTTTCTTAAATATGTAAAATTTTAACATGGTAAGATTGAAAGGGACGATGGCAGTACCTTGTGGTTTTGGCTGTGAGACGGGCCGCTTTTGGGCCGCTTCGATATTTGCAAGAGCTGAAGGCGGTTTTGACGAATCTAGTGGCTCAATGTCATCCCAACCATCCTTTTCAACTTCATCATCTACATGAATGCCATTTTCAAGCTCTCCCCATCCATCAGTTGATGAGGTAGGGGACACAGGTGCAGGTTGATCAGTTAAATCTGTCTGGGAATTTACATGGACTGCCGGTACATGTGCACCATCCAACTCTATGATGTCAAGAAACATGATCAGATACTAATAAATAGGCAGGCGCATTTGCACAAGTGAACACTAGTGATTAGCTAGAAAAGTAGCACTCTAGCAACTTCAAGTATCCAACTGAAAGGAAAGGTACATAAAAGAACAAAATAAAAGTGGCGAAATGTTCACCGGAGCTGGCATTGGAGATGGAAGAAGCAATTATAGGTGCACTTGCACTCGATGAAGCAAGAACACTTGGCTCAGAAGGTTTGCCACCTTTTATAGTCAAAGAGCTCATGGCCCATCTGCATCAAAATTGAGATACTGTCAGTTCAAAATCTTTAACCACAAATTATAAAAGAATCAGATATACAAAATTTTAAAGTTGCATTGTACTAAATAACCATATGATAAAGCAAGAAATCAGAAAGGACATAACCAATTGAAACACCCAATACTACACTCAATCATCAAAATACAAAACTCTGTAGCTCAATGCCATGGGGTCAGGAGCAATCCAAATTAGCATATCATTAGGCATTATAAATTTATATAACCAAAACGAAAAAGTTAAAAGATGTTCTCACACTGGAAAAAAGGAACATTTGCAAACCATGGTTGCCTTGATCTTAATATAAATGTATCTAGTGAGGTATAGACATGATTTTGATGAATTTTGCCCGGGCCAAAACAATGGTTCACTTAAGCAGGAGACTTCTCAAAATATAACTTATCTACATACTTTTGAAAGCTATATAGCATGAAGTCATCATATTCAAAAAAGGTAGCTCACAGATATTATATAAAGAGAAGGCTATGATGTACTTAATACATTTAAATGTAATCCAGATCCATAACACAATAAAGATGATATAGCATGTGTTTCATGTGCAAAATTTATCAGCTTGCACAATTCTTAACAGGTTTAGTGTATTGACTATTATGCAAAACTGAATGGCAGAAAACTGGAAACAGCAACATTGCTGTCAAATGAAAAATTAGAGGATGTATTTAAGGAAGATCCTTTTTCATTATTTGTTTAATAAGAAAAGGAACAATAATGTACAGCTCCAGTAATACACGGCTCAATTCCTGGAAAGGACAGAAGCATTTAGTTTGGCAACAGAAAGGCAACTAGAACCTGAGATAGCTGGATTAGCGAGCATCAACTATTTTGTAGTGAAGAGTATCATTTTCAAGTCAACAAGAGTTAACATAATCTTTGAGTTCAATGTCAATTTTCCCCATACACGATATACTGGGTCCATTGACCATTGTATTCCTAGTTTCATTACGTCGGTAGTATCCGACGATCTCCTTTAATAAAATGTTTCTGTCAGGTTTCAAAAATAAAATAAATTTAAAGATCACAGGACTCCTCTTTCCTTGCTTATTGAAAAATGCCAAAAAATAAAATAAAATCTTTTGACTGGGAATAGGAGGAAATAGATTAGGTGTGTAGGTTCACAAGAAACTAACATTACAAAATTCAAACTTAATTACCCAAGTAAACTTGCGTTTCCAGGTATTGATGTAATTCCAGTGCTTGAGGTGCCCGTAGCATCCCCTGTGCTTGTCTACAAAGACAAAAAAGACACTGTTAATCCAACATCTGAAGAGAACAGGAGGGAGGGAGATGGGAAAGGAATTAAAACTTGATATCAATGAACTTCATGGCAAGAAAAGAAGTAAATATATATTATCATACATCTGGCAAGCATATTTTCAGGCTAAAAACAAGAATGGACAGAAGTCAAGAACCACCAGCATATGGATACAAAAACTACAAGAGAAATTGAGCCTTTTTCCAAGAATCCACTTCTTTAATACCAGAGATGAAATACTTCAATTCAAAATGTGAGGATGATTCAGATAATGCATCTGATATAAAGATCTGTTGTTGAAAAAGCAGCTTCTCAAGGAGGTCTTCTGGGTGAACCAAGGTAAAAGGATACATCTCTAGTGACAAGAAACAATTTATAAAACAGCATGTATCACATGAACAGAATCTATTTTTGTTCAGAGAGAAATTGGATTATGTTATGAATTAGTCAACTTAAGTCTGGAACTTCACATGATCTCAGTATTCATAATTCTGCAGATAATTTTCACCACCATGTAGGAAGAAGAGTCCAGAAAAATCATTTACACACCTTCTCATGGTATTGTTTCACTATTTGTAAAAACTGGTCAACAGCTTGGCATGCCTTTGATCGAACGTCACTGTTCCAATTAAAGGAGTGACTCAAAAACATATACTTGCTAAACAACTAATAGAATGAGTTGCTCATTAATCACAAAAATAAGGTGCACATGAAACCAAAACAACACAAGTACCGGTGTAAGAAACCAAACTACCAAGAACATGATGCCACAGCATTACAGGGACAAGAAACCATTAAAAACAGGGAAATAAGCAGAATGCAAAAATATATCCAGCATTCACATGGACATGAGTCCACAGGCCCAAATCTCAGCCATTGCTACAAGACCCTTCGACAAGCATGCCGTAGAGAGTTTCTTAGCACAAAGTGATAATAGATTTTCCAGCGATGAGGTGAACAAAAATATAGTTTCCGGTAATACAAATTCAGGAGAGGTGCAAGGACACTATACTGGCATGTTGTATTGTCTGCGTACATCAACAGGATGCATCATATTGAGAAAAAATATATTTAGTTCTTGCTTGGCTAAGTTTTTAAATGCTTATAAGCAGTGAGTCTCAAGAAATGTGCGGTTAAAAAGTGGGTAAAAATTGTGGGAACTATAGAATGTGTAGATAAAAATAGAGTTTGACTAGCTTATAAGCAATTATAAGCTTTGCCAAACATGTACTTAGTTTTTACAACAGTCAGAAGTGCATTGTCAGGTTGCATTTTTGTCATTTCTATGAGACATTGGTTATATCTTAATAATTGAGGCCCATCTCATAACTAAATCAATCAACTGTGAAAGTATAGTTATAATGAAAAGGAATAAGATTGTAACGAGGGCAGCCACCATTATTTTCAGTAACCACAAATCAGCTTTACCAGTAATTGTTTTATATTTGAAAGGGAAAACACGAAAAGATGTAAAAGAATGTCTTATCTTTTAACATAAAAGTGTGAAACTCAGAAATAAAATTTCTAATGAAAAGGAGAATCTGATACTTCAAAAGAGAAAAACTAGGACTAGCCTACTTAATAAAAGGAATACCTGTCGGGATCGATGGTGAGTACAACAACATTTGGTAAAATTCGAGTTGCAATCTCAGTGACGTCATAGTAAGAACTAGTGGCACATAAAGCCATAATACCTGGCACAAAGAGGGTTTAATATATTGGGAAAGGAGAAAGAGAGAGATTTGGAGTTACTGAAGGAAAACTGTTGTCTTAACCTAGAGTTGCCTCAGCCCGGCACAATCGACTGAATAGTACATTAAACTTTTCCTAAAATGAGGTCAAGAAGACGGAGCAAGCTTTACCTGCTCCTCGGGCAGGAGAGAATGTATCACGCAAAGCTCGAACTGTAAATGCATTTATCAGAACTCTTTTCCTCATCTGCATCGTACTGAATTTGTAAGCAGCAATTTTTCTCACAGATTGATTTATCCAAGTAATGTATGACAATTGAACATTGACTAACTCAACAATCAATTTCTTCAAGGTTATAGATATGTTAAAGGGAAAAATGGAGGAACGTTGTACTGACCCCATCGTTAAGGTAGTTTGCAATATTTCCGAGCAGTATAGTAGTATTTGTTCTAATTGCAGGTTCTTCATCAACCTAAATCCATAGAAAAGTCAACCAAATCCTGTGTATCAATGTGTACAACTCACAAATAAATTTAACTTTGTTTGCAAAAGGAATCTCGGGTCTATTTACACATTGATTGCTTAACTCATAAATGTATACCTGTAGTTTTGAAAGGAATTTCAGTAATGACCCTGATATGGTGCGCTGAGACAACTGTAAAGAGGAAAAAGAAACAAAAATATTAAGAGGTATCAGGAATCAAAACCAGATGATGCTAGCTCAACCATCAGATAATCCATGCATCCATTGATTCGTCCCCCAAATCTGATGCCAGCAATCGCTAAACATCATATTTCTAAATATCCAAACAGAAAAAATGCTTCTAACATCAACTTTTACACCGGTGTATACACCTCTGAGAAATGCCTGTACAAAGATTAGAATCTATGAATGATCAACAGAGAAGATTTCTTGACTACTCCAATGGCCATCAACGACGTAGCAATGAGCAAACAGGAGTGGAGATTCCAGAAAGACCTTTTTAAGGGATCGAATTTAACAACTTACAGAAACAACAAAAAATTTCAGGCCTTCGGCAAATTCGTCGAATTAATGCATGTTCATAAAATTAATTGGCACCCCTATTGGAGAATCTTATACCTTGAAAGTCTAAACTAAATTAAAACGGACAGGACCTTTTACAAGGTATTTACCTTAGGTGCAAGAACGAGCATGGATTTGAGTGTCAATTCCCGTAGAAAAGCAGATGTGTCGGAAAACCCAGTAGCAACATGAGGGTAAACCTAGACAAACAAACATTAGACTTCTCTGCTACTCCATTATCCTACATTATATATTAGGAGATTGAATATTTTGATTGTGTCATTATATGACTGCATACTTGTTCATCAACAACTTGCGAGGATAACGACTCGCCAAATTGATCAATATGCTGCAGAAGACCAACTCGAATGGCACGATCATTCGATGCAAAGAGTTTGACAATTGTTGGTAATACCTATAAACAGAGGTTAGGAATACCAAATCAAGAAATTAAATACCCGAGTTTAATCATAAGTACACAATTTATGGTATCGTAAAGCTCAGGCATGTAAAAGAAAGAAATACAAGGTTGCCAAAAGATATGAAAGATTTAAACCTTGAGACTAAAATCTTCTGTTGAAAGCCAAGATCCCATTTTCAACAATGCTGTCAAAGCAGGTGCAGCAGCTGAACCAAATTCTAAGGCGGATGCTAATAATGGAAGCAACTGCAAGAACCCGAAAAAATAATGGTTTAAAAACTTCAAAACGAAGAAAGACTTCACCATTATGAAGCCACAGGATACCTTTTTCAGCACTATTTGGCGAGGAAGCTGCTCGGCAAGATTCGGAAGCTTACGGAAAAAAGTATCCTTTTCAACGCTGTCTTTCAAATTAAGAATTTCCATAAAGTGTATAGTCTCCACCAACTTATTTTGAAAATATTCTGCAAATAAATATTGACATCTTTAGGATATGAAAAATAATGTCCACATTAATATAATAAGTGCCTGTTTGTCAACCATTATTGAGAAGAAAATGATGTAATGAATAGTATTTTTTGGAAAATGTGTAGTTGAAATTGAAAGAAACTTTATCGGTTTATGTGTAGAATATTTTATTATTTGAATATGTAGTAGATATTGATTACTGTAGAAAATAATTTTTTGAAAAATGGTAGACAAACAGGGGCTAAATTGAATCAGCAATGTTAATGTTAAATTCATTTCTATTTCAAATGGAATTTTTATTAATAAGAGTAAGAATGTATGCATTCCAGGACCAGTAGTCATATAAGTGAAAAAGGGGGAAAAAAAATTAGAAAAGATAAGAGAATTCCATTGGTCATCAATCTACCACAGAAAAATTATGCTTCGATTGTGAATTATGAAATCAAATAAATTAATGGCCAAAAGGACGAGCAAATTGACACTGATACATAAGTATTCACATCCAAAAGATTTACAAAACCAGAAATGAATCAAAAACAAAATGTCAATGACATGCATCTAATATTTGGTATATCTTTGAATTATGCTTCCCATCAATGGAGGTTTAGAGACATTACATATGAGAAAACGATAAGCAAAAGTTGATACAGCAAGGTTCAGAGAACATGGAGTTCGACTAAACCAGTTCAATCAATGTGATGCTTCGTTTGTCTGAACCCATCAAAAATAAAAATGATATCAATTAATTTAATGTTCGATCTTTAGCATTGAGTGATAAAAGCTCAATAACTAATTTATGCACCAAAAAGGTATTTTGATTTTACTTGCATAAAATATTTTGATCAAAGGTAAAATAGATTTTCAAAATGATATTTGAACTTAGGTCATATTTTTAAAACATCATTTACCTTGAAAAATTAGTTAAAAACTCCTAAAAGTCTACATTTATCAAAATATTCAAATCAGATCAAAAGGGGTCAAAAACGGATAAACTGGCTGCGCCGGCCGGAGGATGCGGACGTCCGGACCATCGTTTGGACAAAAGGAGGCAGACGTCCGGATCGTTGTCCGAAATCCCAAAGAGTTTTGGCAGACATCTGGTTGGGGCAACGGTCGGATTTCTTTACTGAAAAATTAAAAGAAAAGAACTTACCGCTATTTTCCAGAAGCTTTGATGAATTCAACCTGCGAGAAGGCACAGAACTCAAGAGACGCTGATAATCTGGAAGCAGAGACTGAATGAACAATTCCAAACAAAAATGAATTTATCATCTCAATGATAGTTGAAGCAACCAATAAATAAAACGCTATTGAATAAAGCATACAGGATATACAAACATCCAGGCACTGAATCATAGCCAATTTCTAGGGGCATAAAGAAAAGGAATGAGGAACAACACCTTTGGAGTGTCAAAGAAAGAACAAAAAAGACAGGATCACCTTTGGAATGCTAGCAGTATTGCGTAGCTCCTCAGTTTTGCTCAACTTCATACCAGAGAAGAGTTCATAAATAAGACAGCCTACCAATTACACAGTAGAAATAATAATAAAAATTTAAATTAAAGTAATTATTATGAGAAATGCTGTATAACTTCTAAACTAAGATAAATCAAAAATAAAACTTTTTTCTATATATTTTTGAACCCAAGAAGCTCATTTTAAGTCAAGAGAGGTTCTATGAAGCGAGTCCACTAAGACTTAAAGAACACCGACAGAAGTGCTGAAGTACAATTAAAAGGTGACCTTTTGTCAACAGGAACGGAGTCCTTGCAACCTACACTTGTTTTTCATTGACATGTGAACAAGATTCTATCCTAGATTCATAAACTCAAAATGGATGGAAAAATTTAGATGGCCATAACTCGCTAGACTTTCGCAAATTAACTCGGATGTACTAATTACCAGTCCATGCCATTCAAGTACTTGAGTTTTATCACATGGAAAAATAAGAGGTATAAAACCATATGTGGATTTTGGTATAAACCCAGCTTTAATAGACAGGTGTTACAGCATCTCAAAGGCAGATACATATTGCGCCCAAAACAGATGGAAAAATGTAGGTGGTCTTAACTCAATAAACTTAGACTTCTGCAATTTACTGGGATGTGCTATTTATTTGTCCATGCCAAGGTCATTGTATTTTCTCAGATGAAAAAATAAGAGGTATGAAACCATGTATGGACTTTGGTTTACAGATAATTACCCAGCTATAATTGACGCATGATACAGTATCTCAAATGCAGATGCTTATTGCATTCAAATCATATTCAACATCAGTTCGTGGCCAATCAAGATAAAAAAAAATTTCTCTTGCATTTTACATACTGTAAAATAGGAAATTTCTTAAGAAAAGTTTGAGAGATGAGATAAAATGGAAAAATAGCCACATAATTTTTCAGTACAGTGGCCTCCTTTTGGTTGATATTCCAAAAATACCCCCATCTCGTTCACAAACATATCATCTTGTTCTTCAACGTCTACCCTCATCCCCCCATATTGCTTCCATGTTGTGTGTTTCAACTATCCTCCCAGTCACCCCAACTACTCAGGAGCTGTTTGGGAGATTCCCGAGCTGCGAAAATGACTAGTGGAAGGTGAAGACCATTTTTAAAAAGGTTAAATTAGACGTTAGATGTACAAAGAATGCCTTATAAACGAAAACGTTTATAAGTGGACATTTTTTGCTTTCGACAAAAAAAACTCGCATAAAAAATAATTATTTAGTCTCTAAATATATTTGTTAAAATTGTTTGCATGAGAACTCATATAGTAAGGGGGCAAATGAACACTTACCCAGACCCCAAGAATCAATAGCCCAAGGTGGAGATTTTCTGATAGCTGTCCAGTCAGATTTTGACAACTCCATTGGCTTGTATTGTGAACCAATAAGCCATTCATATTGCTGTGTCAAAAATGTAGTAAGAATTATAAATCAAAATTAGCCACCTGACCAGCTAATAGAATGAAAATATCATAATACAATTTTATGCAAGACTCATCAAATGTGTCAGCAATCTTTCTCCATAAAATAGAAGTCAGACGAGAAAGGAATATTCTCTTACAACATATTCTTAAATATCATATTCGTACCATTTGGTGGAACAACTGTCATCTATGATAAAAAAATGTAGTGCAAGGATTAAACACATACAAGATTCTTTTATTGGAAACAGTAAATGCTTTCACTAAGAACATTATGTGTCTGCGTGCACATTCATTAGCAGATAATATGCTTTCATGCATGATGCAGTCTTGCATGTTGCTTTTCACAATATCACTAAGTTAAGAAAATTTTGTATATGGACAATTTTATTAGGAAAGATCTTTGGTAGAAAGAATATTCAGTAGAGGGGAGGATTTTAATTCATAATGATTATTATACTCTGCAACATTTTTAGTTTTTCCTCCCTCAGCATGGCTAGCCAAAATTGAGTTTGTTCATCACAAAAGTTAACACCAAACTCATTACTTACCAGCATTGGTCCAGCTGAAGCTTCATTATTCCCATCAAACTCGGACAGAACATCAAATGCATGTAATTTCCAGTCCAAAGTTTGAGTGACAACAACACTAGCCATACAAACATTACCATGAATCTGCAGTAGCAAAACAGAAAATCATTATTCTAGATATATAATGTTAAAAGCAGGAAACCAGATGAATAAAAGAAATTGCAGCAGAAAAATTCACAAATAACCACTCATATAGTCATAAGAAGTAGATTTAAAAAATAAAATAAAAAAGTTAGAACATTTTAGGAACTGACACAAAAAACCATATCTGGCTCCATGGAGATCTTCATCGGTTTATAGTTACGTCAAAGGTAAGAAAAGCATTATAGCACTTTGGGGGAGCTTCATACCTCTGTTAGAAAACTTTATCAGGCATGATTCATGCCTCAGCAACTAATATATCACTCTTTTTGAAAAGATGTAATTAAATTTAATACCTCTCCTTTTAATTTATCTAGCTAACAGAGGCAAAGAAATCGACAAATAATGCATGCAGTCCAACAAAAGTAAGAACTTGTTTAAAGATTATAGTACACATAAAAAATATTCAAGATGAAACAATAGAATGTCAACTTGCCTCCAACTGTTGGAATATATGGATAACAGCTAAACTTGACTTGATTACATACCAATTTACAATCATTATTTAGGAAGCTCACAGCTTTAGCTATCCGATGCAGTCCCCATGCATAAAACTCATCCCTGCCATAAGAGGAAAGTAAAAGACTAGAAGTTGGTTGATTTTATAGCGTAGTATACAAGAGAAGCAGACCCAAGGAAACTACAAAAATATCTCAGAGAGATTGGAAAAATGTTATAAATGCTTAAAAAAAATAACGTAATTAAATATACATATTGTAACTCCAATTTACAAAAGCAAACTACCCACTCAATTTTGCAGATAAAACTGTAATAAATAAATATCTAAGGAATACAGATTGCAAAGTTTTCATTAAAAAAGATAAAAATAAGTCATATTAAGCTATGAGATTGAGAGTATAAAAGTAGAGAACAAGATGTCCTCCATAGCATAACAAAAAGAATAATATTACTAGCTGTCAAGTGCGAATTATAAGTGTAATTTCATTAAACAATTTTACTTGTTTTCATAAGGGTCGTTAAATGTTAAAATAAAAAGAAGCGCAACGGAATAACAATATTTACACCTTTGGCTGCCTTCTAATCCCAATTCCTTGATCTTTTCAGACAGGGGCATAACAGGCTCTGTAACAATGTAGATTGTAACCTTTGTATTCGAACCATCTAAAATTTCTGCCTCGGTACTGTAAAGAAACGACAAGATATTTGGATGCCTAACCTGAAAGAGGATAAGTCATTCAGATCTAGGACAACAAAGAATAATGTGTAAACCAAGACCATACATCCATTCACCATGCATCGAGAAGTGCACAAAATAATAAGATATTACACTTCTGATATATCACAAATCAAGGACTCATAATGGGGATAGATTTCTTCCCATTGCATTGCATTGCATTGCATAGATGCTTCATAGACTAACAAGTTCACTGACACACGATTTACTCCTTCAAGCCTTATTTGTTATATAAATTTGTGTGTAGTACAGATTGTAAATGACTGAGTGCATTAGCTTTGACTTTTCTTTTAGTAAGGTAATTCACAATTTTGGGTTTATCCAACATCATCTTGTAATCATAACTTTTCACCCAAGTGGATATCCCAAATCAACTGCTGACCAAGGAAGCATTATTTGATTTTTCCTTGCTCTAAGCAGCTTGTTAACATCAAATGGAACCATGTTTTGTCTCCACATAGGCTCTAAACTACATCCAATCAATTATCGCTTATGATATCAACTGGCATTTCATCTCTAGGGCTATTAACTACTTTGTTTCTATATTTGATGCCGAGGCCATAAAATTGATATTGAAGCACGAGCAAGTTCAGATGCAACATCATTATAGCTAGAAAAACTAAAAAGATCAGTAACATAGTCAGGAAGGAATACTTTTGAGGTAGTAATTTTTATTCCCATGAAGACAAGGATAAAAAATATAAAAAAAAAACATGCAAATTATAGTTTCTAAAACAAAAGTAGACAGAAAAATAAGTAGTTTTTCAAATTGAAGTGATGAAAGTATAATTATGCAGTTCACAAAAAGCTCTCAAGGACATAGAAGGGTAGGGACACTAAGGATGAACATTTGTACAAAGTATTATTATTAGCGCAACGGGCTAACGTGACAATGATGCCAGACAATATGATCTCCACCAATCTTGTGGAGATTCTGATTATTAGATAAAGATGTATCCTTATAAGGCAATGAGGAGCAACAGAGATATCTTAACAGGATGTCGAATTTTTCTTGGAAGTCCTCAATGTTAGACAATGGCACTACATAAGGGAGGGGAAGCGTTTTGCATGGTTTTAAGTTCATCCGATAACATAACCCCACCGAGACTCACATCTAAGACCCAATAGTCACAACCACAATAAATGGGCAGGAGAGGAACCACGTTAAATTGTATATTTGTATTACATTCAGAAATTGACAAGGACTACACTTCTAAAAAATTGGACTGTTGTGCCGAAACAAAAACATCAAGATATTAGGTTTCCTTTCCCACAAGAAGTCATTATTATTCAACCTATTCTACACCACAGAGCAAGTGAAAGCCTCAACCTAAGAGGGAACTTGATGTAGGACAATCATATTATAAATAGGTTAAAAGCAAGTGAAAACCTTAATCTAAGTTTGAATACACACAAGTTTTCAAAAATTTTGCGAAGGAATATCAAGAAGATTTAAAAGAGTCCAATTTGAAGCACAACAAGATTTTTAGAACACGGTGCACCATCAACAACAAAGTATGCAACGTGATAATAAACCATGACAGTGGTGAAAACTTGGTACCCAAAGCATTGGTTAAAGCTTTAAATTTGAAGACTCAAAAATACTCATCTTACTATCAAACTTTACAAGTTAAAAGGAGGCAAGAAATTAAAAATATAGAGGTATATAAGATTTCCCTTTCTATTGGTGTAACGACCGAAAATTTTCATAGTTTTTCCCCAAATTTTTATAAGAAATATATTCGTGTTGCTGTAAATTTTTCCCAAATTTACGTGCTTTAAGTGGTCATGTAATTAAGTGGATGCTTAGTCTAATCTATGTTAATTACGTGTTTGCCTTTGAAATATTTTATGACAAATTATAGTAAATTTAAGTTATGTTTTGTCGCTTAATCTTATTAGAGTTAGAATTTACATAAGTCGTGATTTAGTTAAAAAATTTAGTCTCTATCGAATGCACGATATCGCAAGATTTATTATTAAATTATTGTAGTTGTGAGAATTACTATATCGATATTGGGCTTGTTAAATTCCTTATAATTAATCATGCATATTAGACCCGAGAAGTCAATTCGGATCAGGACAACCAAGTTATAGGAAATTAAGGCAAAACTATGGTTATTGAATTTTTAAAAGAATTTTATTCCTTTAGATTCTATTTTGGGGCAATAGGAATTTACGTGTGATGCTAGAGGTTATCCATTATCTTGAGTTAGTTTGCATTTATCCTAATCCTAACAAATTGGTTACTCGAGAGTTTGAAACAATTTGTTAGTTAATTAGTATTTTAAAAAAATCATCGAGGATGTAATATTTTTTTCTTAGAAGTCCAATGCTATTAGCAGGCATGCTAAACACTCCTACCATCCATACCACACATCTGCCTAATTTTACCTTCGCATTTTTTTTTAATTATTCCATCTCCTTTCCCTCGATAACATAGTAACAAGAATATATATATATATATATAGATAATATTGTCGCGAAGTAGATCTCAAATAAAAGGACACAGTACTCAAACCTTTCCAAAGAGGTAGACTCAAACCCCATTTTGTGGTTCATTTAGTTCATTTGAGTTGTAACACTAGTGTTCAAATAATTTCAGTTTCCACCCCTAAGTTTAAAAATTCACCCCGGCAAAAATACTTGGAATTTTGAGGTGATTCCAGTTGGATAAGGTAGCCATATGGATTATCTATCTCTAGACTTGGAATCATGAATTTTGATTGTGTAAAACTTAAGTTATGGACGTTTTCCCGATGGCTGCCAGAATGTACTCGAGAACAAATAGATTTGTTTTTTAAAACAATTTTGACCTATTTATTGATTGAATTTGCATACGAAATTTTAACCCGTAATTCTCCTATGTGTAAGGTGTCTACGATTTAAATTTTATAAATTTTGGATTTCATTTGTTTGTTGAACATTTATTTTCAGAAAGCTATACAAGTTGAAAATTCAAACTTTCCAAAAGAAAATTCTTTATCTTTGCAACGGATTCTCTGAAGCCTTAATGCTTCTAATTCAAGTTAATTTCCGCATTTTTTTGAACAATCTAGCTAGAATTTTACAAATTTAAGATGTTAGTAATGTCACGAGCCCTAGAGCTCGGGGCGTTACAAATGGAAATAACTACAAACATGAGATTATTTGTAATGTGGTAGAGATGAATGATTGTCATGTACTTTGGAGAAAACCATGGTACTATAATGTATATGCTACTTACATATGTCAAGATAATAGGTATGTGTTTTGGTGGTACGATAAGAAAATTGTTTTGGTGTCATGTGATGAGCAATTTGTAAATACCAGTGTACACAATGAGCAAAAGATTTATAAGACAGATGGTAAGGTTAAAAAAGTCGTCATTAAAAATGATGAGAATGTGACAAACCATGATATTACAATAGACCTGTAGAAAAGCATGTGCAAGTTGAAAATTCAAGACCTGCTGATCTCGTATATAAGGAAATTGCAGTTGAAAACCCTAAGATCGAGCCGCACTCCGATGATGAACAAGTTGGAGTTCAAAAGTGTCCAACAGAAGAGGGATTAAATTTTTCAATCACAGAGGAATCAAAGGCAAGGCTTGTCAAATTGAGAATAAAAATTATGTTGACATTTTTTAGCGTCAGTGCTAATGAATTGCATGAGAACAAGGAAATAATGGACGATGAAGATTTGAGTCTTCATACCAGTTCTTTTGTACTGAAAAAATCATCACTAGACATTATAGTAGAAAATGAGAAATGTGAAGAATTAAAAATAGCATCAGCGGCCTCTACCAAGAGCGAACTCAAGGATGAGAAACTTTCTCATGCTTCGTTTATGAAAGAATGTCATGTAAGAAATATTCATGAAGAAATAGAATGAGCATGATAAAAATAAAGATGACTTCAAACAATGCAACTAAAGAATATAAGTTTATCGAGCACATCAAGAAATTACAGAAAATGGCAAAGAATTTCTAGAGTATGCTTCCCATAAATTAAAATACACCAATCAGAAGCTTACTGTTCGAAGGCGCTTGACACCATTGCGACCGGCAGCTAAATGACCATCATTTGCATTGCTTCCCGAAAGAGAAAATATTGATACAGGAGTCTCATCGTCCTGTTAAATAAAAGGGAAAAGAGAGAAAATAATGATTAGAGGCCTTATATTTCGCCATGGTCACTACAATTATACGAAAAGAAAACAATGCCCGGAATTTCAAACTAATGTCAGAATGTGGCTATATATTCTTGCACAACCTATATGAACAGCTCATATTATCTACTCCCGCTACATAGAGATGCAAAGGTATGGCTAACTCAATTTAGAAGCATAAAGGATATGTGGTTCATAATTATGAAAGGTGGTTATAACATAACCTAGTTTACTTGAATTTTGCAAGTGGCAAATCAGTTCTTAATGAATTAGTAATAACACGTAAGCTATCTTTAGAAGAGAATAAATCATTTAAAGCAATCCATACCAAAGAGAACTTTAGAAAGACATGGAAGGATGAAAAAACGAAATTCTTACTACGGGGCTGTGTGCATGCACACTTGTACATTTACCAAACACAGAAATTAACTTTGGAAAGAATTATTTATAAGAGTGAGAATCTTCATTCAATATACTCCATCATCAATTAATGAAAAAATAACTATAAAATCACTACTTAAGAAAAAAATGATATGTATAACTCGTTAGTAGGATTTTTCTTGAATAAAGATTTGGCAGATGCAAAATATGGTTCTGATACAATTCTGATACATTTTTTGCTAGAAGTTGACAACTCAGAGAGGAAAGAACGTAGTGAACAACAAAGATATAGAGGATTTTTGGGTTGCCCTCCAACTTACACCTTAAGTGCTATTGGTGAAGACTTATGCCTCAATTCACTGAAGCTTACATCCAAGCCAAGCTTTAGAGCTGCCACAGAGCGTGCTTGTTTGTCTTGCCTTTTTCGAGCTTTTTATATTGCTCAACTTTATGGACTAATTTTTTATAATCTAAAACCTTTTTTTAAATCTTTTTTTACCACTACACAGAAGGGGAAGCGAAGTCACATTGCAAGAGAATGATTACAAAGAATGAGAAGATATTCACAGTAACAAGGAGGATGATAGGGCAATATGAATTTATATATGTTGATAATTCTCAGGAGGGAACTATTAGAAGTAATAACATGGGATACTTCCAGGTAGTTTCTACATCTAGTAATATATTTGAGAACTTATTTATTTCATTATTTTATGTTTGTTGGATTTTTGATTTATTAATTTGATTTACATAGATGGTCAATTTATTTATGGTTTATTAATGAGCATTTTTTTATTTTCATATTCTTTTGAATTCTTTTATTAGTTTGTCTTGAGATTTATGCCTCACTCATAGACGTAAAATGCCGCCATACCTGATTGAACATTTTAAACATTGTCATCTCCATCACTACTTTCGGCATATATTCTCATTTATTATCTTATCAACTCTAATATGTGCATACGATGCATCTATCTTAACATCCTCATTTCACTATGTTCATTCAATAAAAATAACTATAAAAAGAGAAAAAGAGAAAATAACTAAGAAGTGTTGTAACCGAGTTCTTGAGATATTTCAAGTCCAAGAGTACTTTCCAATGCAGGAAATTGTCATCCATCCTCCAAACAAAGCCTCAAGAGCTAAAAATGTCACTATCACCAAAATTTGTGTGCATGCAGCAACTTCTTTGTACTCCCATTGAAATAGTTATTAATTCCAAGATATGTCTATAACATGACATTGGTAAAACTAAACTCAACTGCCAGCGACCCAAAAGTGTATTTGGCCCCCTTCTCGCCTAACAATTAACATGATGAAATTTAACCACGTGTATACTTAAAAATGTTTTATAGGGAGAAAAATAAATTTAGGAATTTCATAGAATGGTAGTTCAAGGGGTCAGAGCAACGCCAGATAAATCTCTTCCTCTTTCTTGAGTTGACTTATACTTGTAAAACTACTCACTATCCAAACCTCACCCTAATCTGGTTCTACTTTTCTTCAGAAAACTGGGATAAGGAATTTTTTAACTTTTTCCCGAATATCAGAATACTACTATGTTTCCTATATACACAAATTGTTAAAATATATTATCCTCCAGTTATGGCTAGTCCCAGTAAAAGCATAGACAACTTCAGTCAGTTCATCACTTCCAACTGCATTATTCCATAAAATCAAAATCTGTTCGCAACAAAAGTAAAGTGGATAACAACAGCATCATCAATGCACTTTTCTGTAACAGCATTGATCCCAGAAAATTGGATCTTAACAAAGCGAAATTCGAGATAATTACGAAATGAAATCAACACATTCAATCAAAACCCAGAAAAACATAGACACGCGTGTACGCATATACTATAGACATAGATATAGGGAGATTAAAGACTGGAAAAATAGAGAACCTTGGAGGTGCCACGGCAGTGAACCCAGGAGCCCCAAGCAGAGGAGTAAGGCTCGCCGATGTTATACGGCAGATCTTTGAGACCCGCTCCCGATCCGCCCACCACACCTTTCAGGAATTTCAGCATCTTTCCAGGCCGGGCCCGATCAAATCCCTTCGAGGGATTCCCGTAATACAATTGAACAATAAATAATTACAGAGAGCTAGAGAGAGACCGGGCGGGTGGATCTAAAGGGAAAGAGTGCGAAGCAGTGGATTATAAATCGCAATAACTGCAAAAAATAATAAAAAAATGTTTAGCGTACTTTATTCTGTGCATGAAGGTGTACGGTAAGCTTTTTGTTCGTCGAGGTGACGTCGTTTTGAAGAAGGGAAAATTACAGCGGAGGTCTCTTTCGTTTGTGAAATGCGTAAACAAGTTATTAACCTTTAAATTTTGACATTGTCACCCTCAACCTTTTACATACGTAGCAATTCAAATCTTTACAGTCCATTAGAAATAGAGTTGGTAAGCATAAATTCTCGCAAAATATTAAAAAGATAAAAAGAAAATGCTTTGTGTTCCCAACCGATTACCCTACCCTATCCTTACCTACCCCACCCCATCTATTACGTGCGAATTGAGATGAGATGTTACTGATAAAATTGATTTTTCAAAATCATGTCCGAGTAAATGTGAAACTTAGGTCGTGTTTGAGTTTGTTGAAACTTTGAAGGCATTGATGGAAATGACAATTTAGGGGTGAACAAAAATAAATTGTTAGACCGTTAAATCGAACAAAAATTGTTGGTTTGAATCAACGTGGACCATTCAAGTTTTAATTATGAACTGAATTAAACCAATTTGTAACTGACAACAAGATAGTTTGAAATTAGCAACAGATATTTCTTTTTCTTTTTTTATTTCCCTTTTATTTTCTCTGCTAAATGAAACTACTTTCATATATCTTTTTTTATCTCATCCTCGTGTTTCATTCTAGTTTTCAATTTCATTCTTTTCTTTTGCTATTTATTTTCATTGATTTTATTTAGTCCATGTTTGGTGGCCTTTAATTTACTTTAATTTATTTATCATATTTTTTGTCAGTTACACATTCAAATAATAAAATATTTTATACGTAAATTCAAAACTTTTTCTTACTTTTTAACCACATATTCTAAAAAAAATACTATTCAAAACATAGTTTTTCACAATTAAAGGCACCAATCAATCCCTAGTATGTTGTGCTTTTGTTTTAATTAAAATTTATGCTTAGTTATTTTTTAAAAAAATAGAGAGAGTGATTATAGATAAACAAGCAAATGATGATAAAAGTAAGGCACATATTTCCTATAATTGGTTTTTTATATTTTGCGAGTCGAGTCATCCATAAGGATTATTCGCGACCCATTTACCAACAATTTTATCGTCACAAATCGCAACTCACGCATTTGACCGACATTACTTTAAATGAATTTCGTATGTAAAGACTAGGGTACTACATACTTATATGAATGTAAGAGGATATTAGTGTCACGTAAAAGGCGTAATGAAGATAATATTTAAATGATATATGACATATCTTAATATCTTAATTTTTAATATCAAAATCACTTAGTTAATCAGTGAATGCAACGTTTTAAACGGTTGGTCGTTATTGCAAGCCTAGACAATAGATCAAATACATTATTTGTCATATCAAACTTTGAGGCTGTCTGGTTGTGCTTTTCTTTTGCAAAAGAATTGATTTTTTGTCCGTTGAACAAGGCAACGGTCATAAAATGGACAAAGCTGCTGACTTTTGTGTGTAGTGTGTCAGACCATAACGGCAGGGAAATCAATTTTGTCCAAGGAAAATCACGCCCAGACAGGGCCATATTATAAGTCACAAACACACAATGTAGTATGTCTAAGTGATATAGCGTATAATTTTTTATACAATAATCACGCAACCTAATAGGTCACTGTTACACA